TCTTTCTCTCTCCCTCTCTCTGCCTCTGCCTCTCTCCCTCTCTCATCCTGTGCTTCCTCGTCAGGTTGTGGCAGAAGAGTGTGAAAGGGAATGATCTCAAACCCATCATTGGTTTTAGATGTACTCTTCATTCGTTTTTTCCCCTCTGTGACAAAGTCATTTCGGCAGCTTGCTACACCTGCTCCGCTGCAGTGAAGCGCTCGACTCATTTCATAAGTCTTTTGTATGCAGTCCAACTTAGAAAAAAGGGAATGCTGAGAGGTAATAGTTGTAGTCAGGCTATTATTTTGCAATTATCAAAGGATTATCTCCCCTTGTACCTAAAGTTATCATGAAGTATCTCTTGATTGTAGCAATTGAGGATCGAGAGGTATTTAACTGATACTGTTAGATTTAAGATGCATATAAGATGTTCTGAAGATTTTATGTCAGTGTCATTTAACTGCAAAATACGACTGAATCTTGTTCTTCAAGATGTGCTCTTTTGAGTTCAGCTACAATGTCTGTAGACTAAAATATAGCTGATATTTCTATTAGCCACATTAACGTTGCGTCTGTAGTGGTGACAGTGACATTTGGTCAACTACTTTGGTTCAGAGCTTCGGATGGATTGTGCTGAAACTTTGTACAGATATACATGGTCCCAAGAGGATGAATTCTTATGACTTTGCTGATCGTCCGAGTTTTCACATTTCCAGTGAAATATCTTCAACTTTCTACTTGATTGACTGGCACAAAATCTCCTGACTTTCTATCCAGCTCAATAATCAGGTAAAATTAGTATTTTTCCCCATCCCACATTGGCTTGGGGAAAAAACCTGCAAAACAGAAACTAATTCAGTGCTTATTAGAAGAATGCTAACATGCTTAACTAAGATGGTAAAAACTATAAACAATATACCTGCTAAACATCAGCATGTGTTAGCATAGCTGACTCTTAAACCAGACACAGACTACATGAGTTTTGGACTGATTTACCTCAATTTACCCCTCTTGACAATTGGAGGAGAAATCTGATTTGGAATAGGTCCCTCCCGACCCACTCACAGACTCATCGGGGCCGCTCTGATAATATGTTTGACATACAGGAGTTCAAATCTGGATGATTACGTCAGTCTGAAAGTTAATGAGAGCTGTTGTTGGCGGATATTAAAACTGAAGGTTAAAATCTCACCTCCAGTTTTTGCTGAAGAATAGACAACTCGTATTGTCTCCCCAACCATTTCTCATCCAGACACATTTAGCCTTCTGCTTTGAAAAGCATTAACATTACTATAACAAGTTGTTCTGCTATGTCAGTCTCCATTTCGCATTTTTTTAGATCTGATCCTCATGAGGTCATGTGAGGTGGTGCATTGCTCCGTCTGGCACAATAATCTTAATAATATGCTGTAGTGTGTGATTATTTTCAAATCTTGTTGTGTGTTGCATGTTTGAGATTAGAGAGAGGAAAAACTGTTTCTTCTCATGAGCGTGATGCAACCCGATTTCAAAATCAGATAGGATTTTAAAACTCCTGTAGTCTGAGCCCAGCTTTACTCTTGTTAGATTGGGACTGCCCATTTTGTAAACTGCAAGAATTTGTTGTTTTGCCTATAATTCTGCTCTTGATATGAATGAAATGTTATACCTTATGGGACCCTAAAGCTCTGGACCCAGGAAAGATACCCTGTTGAATGAAGAAGACACCATGTTGCCTACATTTGTTGAATCCTTTTCAAATGTCTCATTAAACCCAGTCTTAGTGGGTAAAATGCTCTAAGAACTGAACATTTATATAAAGAATATTTAATCTCATAAATTGGCATATTTTTTTACTTGAGGGCAAATTTTGGTCCCATATCAAACCACTGTACTGGACTAACCGCAGTATCAGAAAGATACTGCACATAGAATGAGCCAAATGTCCCTGGTCCCATTGTTCCCGCACTGATACTTAATGATCATTACAGATAGCGGTAAATGAAACAGTAAATTAGAAGCCCAATTAACATTTTGGTGGCCCCAGGGGTTCTGAGAGGTCCAGAGGGCAAAGAAGGAAAGGGAGGGAGGGGGGCGGGCAAGGTGGGAGGAGGGGTGAGGTTGTGGAAACACCCCACTGGCTTACTAATGTGAGGATGAGGAATTGAATGTGGGGGCCTCAGACAGCCGCGAGAGGCCTCACCTCCACCCTGCTTTTACACTCTGAATAGATGTTTAAAAACCCCGACGTCTCTGGTGGCCTGACCAGGATAAGGAGCTACTAGATGAGCTAGCACATTTGACCTTTCAGTGTAAGCCGGGCGTACATGAAATAAATATGATGCAGGTGTAAAGACATATTTAGGTTTGAAGCAAATGAAGCATGAGTGTGTGACTGGCAGCTCTTGCTCACAGAAAATATCTGTTTTGCAGGTACACATCTGATTTTCAGTATTAAAATATCCATATTAAATGTTATGAATGACATCTATGTTTCCCACTTGATACAATGTGATCTCCATCAAGGCTGCTCCTCAAATGCATGTAAATGAGCAGGGAGTGAATGATCTATCAAATGCCACTCATCTCCTATTCAGACAGAGATAGATAATGGGGGGGATAATTATAGTTAGGGAGTAGTGGTAAAAATATTCTAATGATATTGCACTGGGAGTCCTGGGCTGTCAATTAATGATGTCTACTTGACTATTCTCTAGCTATTTATGCAAGCCGCAAAACTTCTTTACTTCAGTGTTTAAAGAATCATTTCTATTGTTCACAATGAGGAGTTTTTTCTTCTTTTTTTCTCATTAAAGTCACAGTTGCATCTTGAATGGTCTAATTGATATGTAGCCTCTGACTCCTGCCACGTTACCATCCTTCTGGGGCTATTATTGTTTATTGAATGCTGCGGCATTCGTGTTTCAATCTACCTGTTAGCATTCCGTTTCGATTCGAGGCGATGGCAGCTTTGAGGATGACACGCTTACTGTCAATGCCAAGAAGGTTTGCGACCTTGTAAAGTGAAGGGAGAGATGAGGGAGGAGGGGGAGACATTAATGATGATAACTGGGCCTCCTTGGCAGAATAAGATCCAAATAGCACCAATGATCCAAATACACCCCACCCCACCCCCACCCCCCAACTCTTAACACACACAAAGAAACACATTTAAATCTCCTCTAACGAAGCGCCTCTCAATTACACCTCTCCCATTACCATACACTCGTTTGGGAGGAGGAATATGGAAATGGCTAAAATAAAGGGGAGAGACAGGAAGAGGCAGAGAAGGGGTGATGTATCCGTTGAGCATCAGTATGGCTGATTCCCATGGTGAGTGCATGGATGGGGGAGGAAGTTGAAACAGTGTTGGACTAATTAATACAGTGTATAGTAGGAGGGCTGGTGTGGGCTTTCACTAACTGTGACACCTGCTGACTCCTAAACGCACGTTGTGTTGTTTTAATATGACAATTACGCCATTACCATATCTGAGAGATAGCATGGCCCCCCTAGGAATCCACCCGCGCTCTCTTTAGAACCTTTTAGCTCCGCTTCAAATTTTATCTATTTATGCTCCCGCTTTCGAATAAGAAATCAGTTCTTTTAGTATTAAATGCATTTTTTAGCAGCATGATTTACCGTAATTCATGAGCATGTGACAGTTTCGATTCTTAAGTGTGTATTTTTTTCATTATGCAGAGAGCAGTCAACAGATGTGGCCATGATTTGTCTGTGAACCTGTTATAGTTTTGCTAGTGATGGCTGATAAAGTAATCACAACAACGTGTGCCAATTTGCTGGATAAATGATTGAGAATATGTGCAAATATTTTAAGGTTATGTACATATCTGTGGGCCGCCAGTCGATGTAAATCTGACTAATTTAGATGCTTTAAATTCTTCAGACTCTTCACATTCTTTGCATTTGACATTGATGTAAACCTGCAAGACCTTAAATCTATGGTTTTCATACTAGGCTTTTGTTAAGGTTCATCATCTGCGGCAGCTTTTTTAAATTTGAGATATTGAGCCTGGTGTTTTTGAAAGTGTGTTCAGTGTTGTGGCATCTTTTACCTTGTTTTTCTGGACATTCAAAGCTGTCTGTATCTGTTCATTCCCCGGGGCCATCAGTGCTCACGCCAACAACCTGGTTCTTCTCCTGCTTAATTTCAAACAAACAAGAAGTCCAAATGCATCACTTCCTGTGAGGCAAGGAAGACCTCTCAGACACAAAGCAAATGTAAACGCTTTCATTAGATATACAGATGGGTGACAATATGAAGGAAAAACAATCACAAACCTCCTAGTCTCTGGAACCCTCTCCATTTTCCCATACGTGTCCAATTGACTCATTGAATCATTTTCATTCTCATCAAACCATTAAATG